TAAAACCATCTCATTCTGTGTGACCTGTTCAGATTCGCAGTGTGCTCTCATAAATTCACCCCATCTCCTCTTCTTTACCTTGACTTTTGAGCCCCATTTTCATTTTCATGCTTCCATTCCAAGCATCCTACAACCTCCAAATGCTTGTTTACAAGTTAATAAGGAGCACACTCATACATGCTCCAGGAGCTCCTGCACACATTTTTATTCATATATGTGCATGCAGTAGCATAATATTTGGCGATTTGGCTGATTTTTTGGGGGGAGGGCAAAGCCAATTTGTTCCATGCGCATTGTTGATTTGGTCCAAATTTCTGCCGTTTTATAGTTTGACTTGGAAAGTAAGTGAAAGCTTCGTTACAGGAATATCTAACTCAGCTGTCGTCGGAATTCTTCCGCCCGGAGAAAAATTAATACTTTATATGCTGTCCTTCACCAGTATCTCAGGCCTTCAGTTCTTTTTCAGACCATTGCAAAAAAAAAAAAGTTCCTGTGAGGTTGTTGACAACATATTTGCAAGTGCTCCTTTTTTTCTTTTTTTTTTAAGAACAAAGCTGCAAACATGATTTATGAATTTTGGACTAAACAGCAGATGTGTCCAGGTGGATTCATCTTAGTTATTAATAATAATTCAAAAGAAATACCTATGAATTTCATGCATTGCATTATGCAGATTGTGATTCTGCTTTCCTGACATGGTCTGCATGCAAATAAAGATATTATTTTCTCCCAGTGTTTCTGTTGGGTAAAAAGTAAAGGCTTACAGCCCCAATGTGGCAAGATGATGAAGCTCTGCAACATGGCCAGTAGAAATGACTTCCCATCCCAACTAAGAACAACATAATTGATCATAAATACAATAAATTAGAGAAAGAAAATTTGTATGGGATTTCTGCAGAGCTTTCATTTTCGTCTTTTTTTATCAAAACTTTGAACTTATATAAAGTCATTGTAGTTTGTAATTGAACAAAAGTTTCTTTTAAATCATTTAAATTTGACATCAAACTATAGTGGCTAACCAACAGTAAACTAATAAATGATTAAGCAGGATAACATTGTCGATGGGAGTCATTTATGATTGGGAAATGCTCCCATTTAAGTCAGTTGAATAGTGACAAAAGGTTATTTGTCACTAGCGTTCGTAAATGCAAATGCAAACTTCGTTTTGTTCGTTTTTTTTGTTGCTCTTCTGAATTTCTAATGGACGAAGCACACGATGTGAGATAAACATGTAATCACAAAAGTGATAAAATTGCAATGTTGATGCCGCCGTCTGACTCTCCCCCTATGTTAATCACCGGGCCTGATTTCTAAACAACACAATGGAGAATAAAGAAGGCAGACTGGCTGCCCCATTGCAGTCATTAAGCTGTGACAAAGAGAGAGCAATGCGCTCGCAGGGTCTGTACACACAACCATTCGTTAAGGTTTAATGGTTTGGGAAGTTCAATTGGAGAGAAATGGACCGATGGTTTTTTTTGTTTATTTGTTTTTTTGTTTTTTTGGAAAGCACCCACTGACTGAGGGTCTAACAAGAGCACCCCAAGCAAAAAGTCCAGATCAACTGACCTTTACAGGCCAGATAATTCCTATTTACTGCTGCCTGCACGGCAGAACTCAGACACTTGAGATGCTCTAATTGAGGTCAATTGCCCGTGTTCTAGAATGTATCTGAGAGAGGCAAACGGAGGGATGGGAGGAGGTGGGGGGGGAGACGGAGGAAAGCCCGCCCAAGGGAGGACGGACAGTTTGTGCCGGGATGAGACAGGAATTCTTCATAAGGCTGACGCCAGTTAAATAAACCGATTGTTTATCATGCGCATCACAGAGAAACTCGGACAGGGCGTATGTTTACCACTGTTCCTGCATGACCATTTTTTTCTTGTCAAATATCTTGCGAATTAACTTCTTTTTTGGTCCCACTGACTTTACAATTAAAGTTAAAGCAATGGCTTTTGTTCCCACTTCTTAGTGGAAAAGAACAATATCTAACATTTGAATTGGAAAGTAAATTCTGCCCTCTTGCCTTCATTCCAACTTTTTCTTCTTCTCTGTTTAATTAGAAGAACACTAAAAAAAATGCCAGATGGAGATTCACTGGTTGTGGAAAAAAAGTCATTGTATGTATGTGTGTGTGTGTGTGTGTGTGTGTGTGTGTGTGTGGTCCCGGAAGACAGCGGCGAGAGATCAAACCCCACAAACACAGGAAAGATTTACAGAGAGCAACGGGTCCATAAACGCACTGAGGACTAATTAGACAAACACGACTCGGGTGAACCCGATGAGAGTAATGCGGCGATTCCAAGGGCCGGAGGGGCAAATGAATGAAGAAAGCTAAAGTAAAGAAAGGATACTCAAGGAAAGTGATTATTAGAGCGAGAGAGCAAGAAAAAACAACAAACATTTAAGCATTTGGCATAAAAAAACAAGGGAGCATTGAAGATATGGGGGCAAACGTTATCAATTAAGCTGCACTTTTCATCAATTAATTCTGCAATAGTCAGTCATTTCAGCTAATATGTCATTTTCATTTCATGTACAGCTGTTGTCATGATTTAGACCCAAATCCATCACTGTTTGGACGATTAGTTTTTAAAAAAAAGAGCATTTATCCTGGAAAACATCTCGAGCATATGAAAAAAGATTTCTCAGTCTGAGGTAAACAGTGTTTGTTCTAAAATTCCAACGCCTATTGGATTTCTCAGAACAAAAGGCCGATCTATTAACAGGGTGAACACACACCTGTCATAATCTGCTCGCGTCATTGTACCAGCGGTTGACGGATCTTGGTCCACAGGACCTGAGCGATCCCCAACGTCCCGCTGAAACGTTTCACGCCATTTTTTCTCCCACCTGCTGACCAAGAGGGAATCCTCTGGCCATCTGTGCTCTGGCGGTCTTTGCAGACACAGTTTCACATAAAATAACGATGACTCAGCAGTTGTTTGGGATGGTATCTGTTGTTTTCTTCTCGTGCCAAAAATAAGACATAGATTGGTGTTTTCTTTTGTTTCCCACAATAGCAAAAGATAAGTCCATATTAAATTAAATTGAAGTGACAGAACATTAAACATTTTGGGCTTGTACAATCTGTATTTTAATGGATGGCAGTCAAACTACCTCTGGTTGAATTTGCGTTAGCCCCTTTTTCCCCAACCTCCTCCTTCTCTAGTTGATTCTGCTCTTTTCAATGCTTTTTTTTGTCAAGTGTTGCACAAGCTTTTCGGGGGGTTTGCAACGTATTACAGAAAATTAGGTGACAAACTTCTACACATTTGAGGCTCTTCCACATCAGCCTCATGATATCCCCGCTGATTAGGCTTTGAAAGTGCATTTCTAGGAAGCACCCTTTTGATTCGAAAGCATTTGTTCTGACGCAATCAGGAATCCTCTTCGAAGCGCTTTTTTGAAAACCCATCCGCCTGATGAAGTGGGCTCTCTGCACTTTAATGAGCCTCAAAGTAATTCAATCTGTGGCTTTTGTCAACCTGGAGAAAGTTGCAAAAGTTGACTTGCAATTTCCCCTCTAGTGCCAATCAAAGTCTCTGAAAGGGAAAGTAAGACACAATGGTGCATTTTCCCTCCATGTCTAAACAAAAAAAAAAAAAAGGAATTCTAATGCCTTTTCTGAATGGTCCGTGTCAAAACCTGCTGTTTGAAGCTTTTTCTGTCTTGAAAGGTTAGCCATGCTGAGTCACTCTGTGCTGTCACTCCAAGGTGAAGGGGCTAGGGAGAAGAGACAAACGAGAGCAAGTTAGCCAGAGGATGAATATCGACAGGGTGGAGCTGTAGCCATTTCTGTTTGCACACCTCCACACACCTGGCCTAACTGCAACATGGAATTAGCATATCGTTAAAGGGCTGTTTATGCCTTTTCAATGCAGCTTTTAGCAGCCGAATAGAGCAGAAACCTCCACGTCAAAGCTGGGGTTAATTGGAGAGAGCACTGGACTCTTATTCTCCGGTTTTATTTACTCTGTCCCATGAATCTGTGAAAGTAGCCGATTCTTTCTCTCCGCAAGTTTAAAACAAAAAGACGCATCGTGTTCTGTTATCACAGGTTCACCCGGCTTCTAGAGGGCTTGATGAAATGTCATGACAAGCTCTGGTCAAAATAACAGCGGTACTGTAGCAGCTCCTTTCCCCCCCAATTATTTGTACCTTGATTCAAGTAGATAATTCTCGGTTTTGGAGTGACCCACTCCACGCCCCTCCACCCCTCTTTCCCTCAAGGTTTGCCTCTCTCGAGATCTGTAGTACTTAATAACCCGTGGAGTACATGATTACAGTGGGAGATAGTGTACAGTAAAATGGCCTGGGACCTGAGAGCATGCACCCAAACGATGTGTGAACAATTCTTGCAATTTTTTTTTTTGCTCTTGAAAACTCTTAACTCTTAGGCAAACTCTTAACACAAGTCATCTGTTGATTGTTGAAGCCGCTCACAGTTCTGTGCACTCAGTGACAAGGGGAATAATCTGAATTCCAAACTTTGAACCTTTAAAGACGAGAAGAAACTATTTGTTTTCACATCTCACTATGGGATGCACCCATTTGTGTTGTTGCGTTACCTTCTAACTGGTTGGTGAGCCCATTTGCCACAACACCAGCATTAGATTATACAACCGAAGGTGTAACTGTGTCAAACTATGTTCAAATGAACAACTTCCATGCAGGAATGTTAACAAGAATTGCATCAAAGTAATGTACGTATAGTGAATAAGTGTAACCATGTGTGGCCCTTTGTGAGGTCGTTTTGGGCAATAAAACGAGCAGTAAGAGGCATCCCTAAGGACATGCACGTCGCTAGCATCACCTGACAGGAATGTACCATAATTGTGCAAAAATCATGGCTTAACTGCGTTTGGATCAAACAAATTTCCCAAACTAAGTATTGTGAGTTGTTTTTTGTTTCTTTTTTGCTTGTGAATAGAGACAAAAACGGACCTTTTAATCAGAAAAACAGTCTAACTCTAAATATTGTGCAGACAGCTTCCCAGTTGTTGCATGGTCCCATTATTCTGTTGTGTTTTTATTAACAGATAAACTCGAGAATGGTGACGTCTACCAGAGGAGGAGAGGACCTCACTCGAGCCATTCAGACGGACCAGAAACAGGCAATAAACACCGAGAGGGAGCTCAGCAGATGGACAGCAGCTGGAGACGAATTCTTCTCCTCATCCTTGCCATCACCATCCATAACATTCCAGGTGAGAACAGATTTGAAAAACTAAAAAGAATCAAAAGCATCAATGATTTGACCTGGCCATCGAGGCAGAATGATCAAATACCACGGCCAGCTCAAAGGTCTTCTGTGCCCCACACTTTGACTAACTCTAAATTACTGACTTCAGACTGAGAATATTTTTTTCAAAAAATACCTAGAAAGCGTCTTATTTTCCACATGAGCAGAAAAAAACAGGCTATGCTTTTTTTTTCTTAGCTTAACGATAAAACAACTGATGATTATGTTGCTGTTGATAGCAAAGCAACAAGCAGGAGTTTAATAGTTTCATTTGACCTTTCACTTGGAATGGGACTGGGCTCTGTATGTCTGTCCAAGCTGGTACGGTGATAGAACGGTTCGTTTGACAGTCATCTCCAAACAAAGCACATTATTAGTGTTGTTTTTGCGGTTTTAATTTGGTTGCAACTGCAGACACCCAAATAAATGCTTCCCTCTTCTACTGATTGACAGCTGATTGATAACACACCTCCTTTAACGTGGCAAAAAGTAATTACGTGTCTGCACATCCCCCTCAGAAAAGTTGTTTCCAGTTAACTTGAGGTGAGTTTTAATATGAAGGAGGAGCAAATTAGCCATCACCTGGATCAGTTTGAGAACAAACTTGTAAATAATCGACTAGATTCAATCACGCGTCCGCCTGAGGCACAAAACGGGAGACGCTATAGCACAGCTCTGATGAGCTTTGGTAAGTTTACAATTGATGAAGAAAACAATCCCAGACTGTTCTAAAGATCGACGGCGAGGCTGCTTCTCTCACGCTCACATCTTTCCAGGTTCCGTTTGTTCCGTGCAGAGCAGCCGCTGCAGAGCTCCCGGAATACGAATTCTTTTTTCTTTTCTTCTTCGATTAAACATAAGCTCTTTGAATATTCAAGGCGCGGCCGTTCGAGCAAACGGACAGCCTTCCCCTGGAACTGACCTTGCTTTGTTCAACACGTAGGCACGCTAGTCATTCTTCTGTCAGTTCTAACAAGCTCATTAGACTGTCTGTCAGTCAGTCACACTCCACTGACAGCCCGCCAAGAACGGCTCCTGCTCACTATGTGAAGGTTTTTTTTATTATTCTTTCTGAGAGTAGGCTAAACATAAAGAATTCAGATAATGCAATTCAGAGTTTAAAAACTAATTAGATTTGCTGAAAGGCCATATGCACAATAACCACATGTTTAACTGGGATTTACTTATTATCGGATATAGGCCTTCGAAGTCCCCTTAGTCATTTTGTATAAAATAGTACTGACAAGTACTGATGAATTCCTTTTCCAACATCCTACATACCCTTTTCCGGAATGCTTAGCCTCATATTTATAATCTCACTCCTGTTTCTGCATCATTGTCAATAAGGAGCTGTTATGTATTTCATTATAGCACTTGGCTCCGTTTTCAGTGCCCACTTCCAATTTTCAGAGAGCTGAACTGAGACCAAATAACCCCTCCACAGTACCAAAAATTAAATGAAATGTTCCGTAATTCCAGCAGTAGTTTTGCCTGTTCGCTCGCATGTGTGATTGGGTGGCATTTAAATATGTAGTAGACAATTTGCTACAGCCTCGAATTTGCTATTACTTGTTTGCAGTTTTCTGCATTAGCAGCTGCTCGTATTACTCTGTCTTTCCGCAGTTTAAGATCCCAGCAGACTAAAGCAAGTTTGTCAGCCCCTCTGTTTTCACACTTTTACAGTCGGTTACACTTTCCTCAGCATTTTAGAAACCTGAAAACATGACATCCTATTACTGGCAAATCCATTTTTTTGTCTCTAACAGAATATGGATTACATTTCAAATGGGAATCATTTCACTGTTTAATAATGACAAAAAGATTCCATTTTAAATTCGATGACAAAGGGGGAATAGGGACTGCCAATACTTTCTAAAAGCATTGCCTATTGTTATTTTTTAATGAAATTCTTATTAATAAAATATCCCTTTCTCCACACACTCTCTCTCATTGTTATGTCAATCACAATTTTCAAAGAGATGCTATCTTGTTTGTTTGTTGTTCTTTTTTTTGCTGTAATTAATAAAGCAAATTTTCCAAACGCTTAGCAGAAAACCTAAAAACTGTCTTTTTCTGTAGGATAATTAAAGATAAAGAGGGTAAAAAAAGAACATGTTTTGATAAAAAGAAACTGATCAAAACCCGCAGGTTTGACAAAGCTGTAAAGCTGCTTCTCTGCGATAACCCAAAGGTTATCCCAGTTAATTGAAATGTATGAGAATCTTACTCCTGGCTTTTTTGGGTGATCTTGAGAATGAATGCGTAGTTTGTTCAAATTTGGAATTCGAAGACGCGTCGTGAGCAGGCGCTGATTATCAGAGATTTGCTCAAATCAAAGCGCGGCCGACCCAATTAAAGAAAAAACAGCCTCACCTGTTTGTGGGATTTTCCACATCAGACTTGATTGATTTCCATTTGTTTTATCAGTTGCCGCAAAATCCTAATTCTAGCATGAAATTATTGTGTGCCTCATTACTTGAGGATAAAAAGCACATTAGGGGAGCATGTAGTGTAAACAGTGGGAGGAGAGCACGTTGTGGAGGCTGTTATCAGGTGATAAAAGGCGAGTTCATTAAAGAATGAAAGTGTTTACCGCTTAGTGCATTCACCTTTTTTTTTTCCCTTTATCGTCGCATACAAAAATGGTCTGGTACAGCATCACAGTGATGAATTGCATTCAAGGGAAACAAACGTTGTTTCTGCCTTTGTATCTCTGTATGTGTGTGTTTGCGTGTGTGACACATGGCTTAGTTGGATAGCTGTCGCATTAGAAATGTCCGCCCGTTTCGATTGTTGGAAGCCTGAGACTAAACCACAGAAGTTTTTAGTGCAAAAATCTATCATTTCTTCGGTCAAAGGCAAAGCAAAGCAGCACAGGACTCAAAGTTCCTGAAGATCTCAGTCAGAAAGACAGAAATCCGGTTGGGATTTGCTGTTATCGTTGGGGGCTGGGACTGTCCCGTGCAATTCAAAGGCTGGACTGAACATTTTCTAAACTCAGCTCAGCAGAAGGAGAAGAAAAACTGAGCACAAGCACTGTGCATTGAACACTGATGCATGGGGCTCTAGAGAAAGCAGCATCCAGTAACCATCTGTGAATGACAATCCTCAGGCTTGACAGCTCAGACAAACTCATAGAGCATGTGGAATACCACTTTCGCTCAGCCAAAACATTAAATGGAGTGACCGACATTGATAAAATACCCCAAGACATACATCAGCCTATTTAGGATCAGACTGGACTGATGTAGCCCAATCTGCGAAGACCCCACTCTACCACAAACAAGATTTAAAGTAATCTTTGCCCACGTCCTGGTTCCAAGCACCACAGGATGCCACCAGACATTCCAAACCCATCCCCCATTGATACTAATTCAGTCTTATCAATCAATCAATATTTATTTATATAGCACTTTACAACAACTGGAGCTGATCAAAGTGCTTTACAGAATAAAAAACAGTGGCAGGTCAGTAAATGAACGTAACTCAGTGGGCAGAGAGTTCCACAGTTTAGGACCTGCCACTGCAAAGGAGCGGTCACCCCACTGATTGCACCTGGACCGTGGGACCTCCAGCAGATTATTATCTATGTCTTATATCTTATGTTAGGAACTTCTCAAGAGGAGATATGAGGGTGATCTGGGAATCAGTCTTTCAGCTGAGAACTGCTGACATGACAGAAGAAAAAGGGTCCACCCTTCTTCCATTAGGCCTACTCTCCCATTGTTCCAAGGGAAGGTCCACCTTTCTCTGAGAGAGATTATCCATCATCAGGCCGTCTATGCTGCCTCCAAGGTCTAGTTGAGGGACTACATTGCCATTTCTGCTCGATTTCTAAAATAAAAGAGGCCCCTTCTGGTAAATGGAGTCTTGGGACGAAAGAATAGAACTTTAATTTAGCCTGTCTAGGGCAAGTTGAATCCTTGGAATTGTTGTTGCTATAGAATGAAACTACTGCTGCAAACAAAGTCTGAAAATTACATTTGGTCTTCAGCCTCTAAGTGCAACGTCTCTGTTCCTCAGGTACTTTGGTTCGAACATCAACCAGAAACAGATGGCTCTGTTGTGTCTATTGTCTTGGGATTCTTTGAGAAAATGCGATGGATGGTAACTGGATAACAAAACTGGATAATGGAGTATTAAAAAAGTCACAGAAGCAGTCATCGTTTGTCAGAAGTAGATATGTTCTTTTTAAAATCAGCGGTACATGTCCTGCTACTGGTGTTATGTTCAATTTTGCATCCCCTGTTTGCAAAAGAAATACCTCTGCGGCTTCTTTGAAGTGCTTGTTCATCAAGTAATCATGTTATTTCACATCGGGTACAAACACGGAAAGCCTCGCTCTCTAATTACCCCATTTAGTGTTTTTATGCTGATGAAAGAGATCTATTTTGCATAGAAATCCTGTTCCAGCTTTAGCACCAGTGTTGAACATGAATTTGTATTGACTGGGTGCCTTTTATTTGAGTTTGATAAGTGCGTTTTTTTTTTGTGTTTTTGCTTCTGTCTGCCCAAGAGGGGATGGAAGAAGTCATTCTCGAGGCACCAGCTTCCCCCCGAACACAAAAAAGCAGCTGCGTAATAGCATGATCGGATCCTCTAAGAGGCTCTGAATGCTCGCTGGCACTCTGCTGGGCGTCCTTTTCATCCACGGAGCCATTAGAGTTGATCCCGACCAGGAAGATGGACTAGGAGTAGGGTGTAGGGTTACTTACACCGCTGCTGCTACAAAATAAAACAACCCGAAAAGACATATCACTAGATATCCAGATAGATAAGCCTGCAGGATTCAACCTAATCCGGTATGAGCTGACTCGTAATGTTGTTTAAAACAAACATCGGAAAAAGTCATTGGCTGGTTTCAGCTTTCCTGATAAAAAGATTTTCAGCTCCTTCCCGCAACATCAGCAGCCCTGCAATGATATGTGTTTGAAAATTGTAAATTTTGCACCATTGTGGACAAAAAATAGCCAGTGACGGCGCGTTAGCATAAAGATCAGAGAAAAAGAAAGAAGTGCCTCCATGGGCAAAGAGGGGAGATTGAAGGGAGATGGAATGGAAACAAAAGGCCTGTCAGGAGCTGTGTCCTCAGAGCTAGAAACGGGAAAAGAGGAGAGAACATCTTCTTCCGGCTCTCGGCGAGTGCAGACGTGTTTCTCTCTGCTCCCCCCCCCTGCCCTTTTTGCCTGCTTGCTATCTTTGTCCTGTCGTATCTCAGAGTTTCTTTCTGCATTTTCACTTCCTAAAGCCTAACATCAACCATGGATTTGGTCGGCTGGTCTCTCAACGCAATTGACAAAATCTTTTCCCAAAGACAAGCTGCTGGGGCTGCAACTTGTCCAGCCGGGACTCACCCAGCAGGTTTCACGATGGATGCCTGGAGGAGCTGGAGGGTTTTATGCCTCTCAGTTCTCTCCGTGGAGGACGTCGAGGACCTATACCTATTTGGATTCATGATAACCGGGTTCCTGCTGATTGGAGTTGGTGGATACCTACGTTTTCGAGAAATTCGGAGGCTGATGGCAACTGGTGGCGGGCTGCCTTTCGAAACGCTTTACCGGGCCATCAACACTCTGACTCAAACCTTGTGCGAGTTGTCTCGCAAACATGATGCTCTGGTGAGTGAACTGGGGACTCAGTGGAGCAAACAGGAGGCTCATAGGAGCAAAATGGGGACGATGTCTGACAGCATGAGGGTGATGGGGAACACCTTGGAGAAGGTGGTGGTTCGGATGGATGGAAATTAACACGATTCGGCTGAATTGGATCGCCATTGAGAGACCTGCTGAGGACTTAAGGCAGACAAAACACGCTCTGTCTGGAACAAAGCTATCTCTCTTATCTCAATCTGGCCTCCCGAGAGCGGCCTTGCAGCTGCTACTCTACAACTTTGCCCTGGATGAAACTGCAGACCGACGCTTTGCCCCCCCCACCCCCCTCCCTCCTCCCAAGCAGGAGTATGGGCATCACAAGGACAAATTCCATCCTGCCTGTGGATGTTGACTCCAACTTGCTTACACTTACACACACACAATTACAGACTTCATGCATTCCTTGGACTCACTGCCTCGTTGTTACCTTTCCCCTTCCTTCCAACCCCCCATCCCTCCCTCCCTATGTGTCCTTGTTGTTGTGATTTGACGGTATCTGTGCTTAAGTGTACTGAGGTGTTTTTTTAAATCACTGTTACGTCCCCTGTAGGGGGCGTGGCACTGGGCCTTTTTTTCCCCTCTTCCCGCAACCGCTTTCCCAATGTATTCTTTTGTTCTGAAGAAAAATTGGTGCGCCCTCCTGTGTGGCTGCCCTCAGTCTTCCCGAACTGGTGTGTCTATGTGTTTTGTTTGTTTGATCTTGGTACGGGCTGTACTGGAAGTCAATTTCTCCCTGGAGATCAATAAAGTATATTCAATTAGTAACATTCAGCGGGATTGGGATAGGAGCCCCTGCCGTACACCCCGTTCACATTAATGAGCTCACATTTTGTCACCAGGAATGTTAAAAGATCCATCATTCATCCCTCCTTCCAAGACAGAAGACGCAAATCATCGCTATAGTTGCAACGTTCTCGACTAGTCGTCAGTTTTGCTGACTTTTTCTCGCTGGTCTTACACCGTAGCAACATTTTTATGATATTAAGGCCCATTATCCCCTCCCAGTTTTCCTGATGTGACTGGTAACAGCCTGTTCTCTCGTTCTGTTGCTGTCTCCACATATCCGTGCATTCCTCAGCAAATTATAGAAACCCTCTAATTTCCCTGAATTTATTGTTGTTGCAGAGTAGATCATTTTGAATATCTGCTGGATAAAGGTCCACATTCCGGCCGTGACATTCACATGGTCATCCCCGGCTCAGCCGTAGTGCCCACTGGATTGACTGGATGTCCAGGGCACGGCCAGAAAAACGGGGACAGAGCTGTTGTGCGGCCACCTGTACCACATTAAGAGATTCTTTTTTTAAGACTTCGTGAGAATTGAAGCTTGAAAACATGAGTTTTTAATTGGACAGTTTCAGGTACACTGGAGATATGTTTTAATTAAGTTCCTGATGGACATTTTGGTAGCAGGGTGAACCGCTCCTGACCTACCTTTGTCAATCAATCAATCAATGTTTATTTATATAGCACTTTACAACAGCTGGAGCTGATCAAAGTGCTTAACAGAATAAAAAACAGATCAAACTATCGAACAATACAAAATAAAACACAAAGACAATCACATCGGTGACAGAACCAAGTAAGTTTAAAACTTTGTAGTTTTAAAAAGTATTTTTGAGTCAAGAAGGGTGACAGGTACCTTGAATATTAATTCAGATAGCATGGTTATAACTCAGACTTCCTGTTTAAGCGGGCCCGTGTACAATCAGAGTTGCCATCGGGTCCTCGTCACTTTATCTTTACAGAAAAATGGCATTTGAAGGAAGTGTATTTGAAGGATGACCATATTCCCAGTCACTCCCAATCACTTTGTTTAAATATCCCCGATACATCAAATATCATTCAAACCTCTTTTCTTGTCATAATTTAATGCCTGTCGTCCCCGGGCTCATTGCTAGATTGATCACATAATTTTCACTAGTTGAAGCTTTATCAGCAGGAAAAGTGATGAGAGCCATTTTTAGAAATTGATGTTGCGTACCATTCTATTCCCTCCTATAAGGTGGTGGAATAAGCCGTCTGACATGCCTTGATGACTGTCAAGACCAGTCTGGGTTTATTAACCCTTGGTTGACTGAGAAAATGTTGCAAGCCCTGGGCCCTGCTTCAGGAGCCTCCACAGCTCATATTTTCAGCTGTGCGAGCAGCTGCTCTCAGAAAACCCTGAGCCTTTGGACAAAAAGAGCAAACAACAACAAAGATTCTTCTTTTTACCTGACCTTTTTTCAGACCTCCGGCAGATAAAGGCACCGGTGTGGCATTGGTGGCGATAAGAGGGTAAATTAAAATCGGCTTTCGGTCTTTTCAGTGTTTTAACCGTAAAAGGATTGAATCGCTCGGATGTAAGAAAACGGACTCAGTTTCCCCGACTCTCACAGCTTAGTTTGTGTTCATGTTCAGTGGAAGGTTATCCAGTGGCCCCGCAGTAGTGGCTGCTGACCCTGTGGCTTTTCAGGCAGTCCCGGGATTGAGACGGATAGTCAAGGTCCCCGCAAAACGCCCAAGGACCTGTATCCCATCGCGGCGCAACAATTTGTCTGCCTTTAACGGGCCCAAGGCAAGAGGATTGGACGCATTCTTATCAGAATGATTCACAGACATTATATCATGATTAAGTGTACCCTCAAAACTTCAAAGCTGTGGCCGTAGGGACATTTGATTCTCGATTCCGTACCATCTTATCTTTTCCCTTCCAGTCCTTCTCATATCCGTCCATCTTTTTACTTACCTCTGTCTTAGTAAAGTCTTCATCACCTCCGTGCTGATAGAAAACAACAAAAACAAAGAGATGCTTTGAGTTTCATTTTCAATGAAGAACTGGGAAAGAACTGCTGGCAAAGGAGTATCCAACATCTACAGATAGTAGGCAGCTGTTCCTATGAAGCATCTGCCGTCCCTTATTGATCAGCGGTCCCTCTGTTCTGCCAACAGCACACTTCATATCAAACACCAGGTGTTCCAGTCTGTTGGATTTTGGACAGTTTATCCAAATTATGCATTCACCGTGCATGTGTGTCTGTTAAGAATTTTTAGATGAACGGGTTGTCACCTCTTCATGAATTGTGAGGTTGAACAGATCTTTCCTGGACAAATATTGAAAAACTTGAAGAAGGTTTCCATAACCTTCCCTTCATTTCTGGTCCATATAAGACTTTCTTCTCCTTATTTTACGGTAAGAGCAGTAAATGTAATATACAGACAGATAAGAACCATCTCAAAGGATTGTACAAATTGTAGAATAAGCTTGCTTATACATTCATAATCAATCAATCCTGGGTTTTTATGTCTATATAACTATATAATATCTGAATTTCTCTACTCAAACTATACATTACGGAATAACTGGAGTACATGTCTGTCTATTAATGGGACCACACGGGAGATAAGTATATGTTGCCAAAGAGATTAATGGGGAGAGGGGCTGAAACCTACCTTGCTATCTCCCCTACACATCCCAGCTGTGACTCTGACGCTACATCGGGGTCTCTCAGCAGTCGACCCACCCACACCTGTCCTGACAGCCAGTAATCAGCGTGGAGAGACGCCGCGACAGCACGAAATCCAAAACAGCCCCCTAAAAAAAACCCGCCTTCACTCACGCACGCCCAAAATTCCCAAATACACAAACGCGCGGCTACCGGTGACCTTTTCACTTTCGGTTTGAATGAGGCGTACTTAAAGCCTACGTGACAGGCATAACAAAGGAGACAACGGAGCTTCAGAGGAGCGAGGTGCCGCTCAGGCTGTGCTCAGCGTCAGCAAGGGGAAAAAAGAAGCCCAGCTGAAGTCACAACTATGGAAATCCCCCATAATGCAGCCTTAGGGTTTTAATCCCCTCAGCAGTTACAGCTGGAGCAGCAGAGGCTCTCAAAGTGAGAAATTACCATACAAATCCAGTCAAATGAAATAAATAAGATGCGATTTCTTTTAGGGACCCTCGTGAATTCATAAGGGTTTCACACTCCCGTCGTTGTGTTGTGTTACTGTCTGTGCAGATTAGCAGGAAGTGAGTGAACGCCGTGCACTGGAAACCGAACGGACGCCCCTCTGATTATTTTTCAGCACATCCATCCAGTGTTTGTTTACGCACGGATCAGTTCAGAAGTTTTGCACCATCTTTTTCATCCCATCCCTCCTCCCTTTTCTCAATTGCTCCTTTTCCAATACGATGGAGGACATAAAGTAGCACAGAGGCATTTTCTGATGGCCGTTTTTTTTTATTTCTCTTTGCAGAGGGCTTGGCTGTGGGGGTTGGTTTTGGTGCTGTGGGAAAGACCCCCTCTGCCACCTTTGAGAGTGCCAGGTAAGAACAACATGTAGATACACTCAAAGGATTCATTTTGATCCAGATCACCACCTTTGTGAAAGATTCACACTCCGACTACTGCTTTATCTTGAAATTTAGACTTATGAAATAAAAGGCACCATGTAGCAATTCTAAAACATGATATATTCAAGTTTCAATTACAATTGGAAAGCTTGAAGTTTAAAGGTGATTTTAATTCTTTAAGTGTGTTCTCTGTTAGAACATGGTGGTTTTCTACCTTTGAGTTAACGTTGAAGCCTGCATGCTGTTGACATCTTGTGGTTGGATGAGGGTACTGTCAGTACAGATGGGCAGCTGATCATGCCCTCTGGACAGAGCTGGACAGGATTTTGTCATGTTTTAATATCGTGAAGTTATTTTCATTATCATTGATTATCATAATATCATGAAGATTATTGTTGGTTAGTAACCTGCCATTGATTTCATGTAGCTTCTGGCTCACAAAAAAGGCAAAGATACCATGCAGAGTTTGAAAGATCCGTTTAATACAGTTGTTAATCATCTCAAAAGCACACCCGTCTTTTTCGAAAACAGCATTTCTGAAAATGTTGCAGTGCAAAAAAAAGAAAACACAAACTTGACATTTTTATGACTTCAGGTCTGTCTAACACTGCAGGCGATGGTGTACAGATGCTCAGCAGAAATCCCCTGTACTGAATTTATCTGTAAAACATTAGAAAAACAGTCATTTATAACGATAAATAAAGATGTCGCCAGGCATATCTGTGTATAAGTCCCGAGGTTTCGGCCAGGTTTCACTTTTCTTTCAGTAGTTGGAGACGAAAGGCTGTTTTGGTGCTGCATAGAGTTCTGCTGACATCATATGGTGCTATGATAGTACTGCAATAAACTGTTTAAAAAAAGCCACTTTTAAGGAAAGTAATATAGTTGGTGGTAAAGCCAGAGACATAAAGATATTTCCTTTCGTGTAAATGATTGCATGGATAAACTCTATTGTAATGTCAATATATCACTTTCACTTTTACTAAACCATTGTAAAATTACTAGGAAAACTATTAAAGTTCCCTTAAACCCAGCTGCCGTGGTACTGAGCGTCCAGGGATATCTGAGCTTATTACGGCCACAGAAGCTCTGCTCGGACATCCATGAGAGAACTGTCCGTGTCCCCGGCAGAAACCTGGCCATCGGCATCGGCATCCAGAACTTCCCAGAGGGCTTGGCGGTGAGCCTGCCGCTGCGGGGTTCGGGGGTGTCGGCGTGGAGGGCCTTCTGGTACGGTCAGTTAAGTGGCATGGTGGAGCCCGCCGCCGGCCTGCTGGGCGCCTTCGCCGTGGTGCTGGCCGAGCCCCTGCTGCCCTACGCGCTGGCCTTCGCGGCGGGGGCCATGGTCTACGTGGTGGTGGACGACATCATCCCCGAGGCCCAGCTCAGGTGAGAGGGCGGGGTTTCGCATTGGGGGGTGTGGGGGGATCTTTCTAATCTGTCCACCACCAATCTGACCTTCCTCCACCCTGCCCCCACCAGCGGGAACGGGAGACTGGCCTCCTGGACCTCCATCCTGGGCTTCGTAGTGATGATGTCACTAGACGTGGGGCTGGGCTGACGTCGCCGCGGCAACGGGGGGGGGAAAAACGTTTTAATTCGCAAACGAAACGTGACGCCGACCCGCGTCAAAAAGGGGACCGAGTGAAGAAGGGGACCGTTTGTTGAAACGAACTTCGCCTGAAGTTCATCTGCATTAAAGAAACAGTGGACTTTAAAAAAAAAAAAAACACACACAAAAAGAAGGAACTATGGCTGGACTTGAATAAGAATATTTTACATGCTGGCAGTCATTTTCTAAGGGCAGCTGAGCAGCTTGAAATGTTAGATCTAATAGAGAAATTATTTTTAGTAATATTACATGATCAGAAGTCATATTCCAGACAAGTGAATGTTTTTTTCTGACTGATCTACTTTAAAAACACATCTAAAAACAACAGAAATGCAGGCTACATTAATGGTGTACTTTTTTTCCTTTTATATTAATTGCATTTAATTTAATCGTTTATGGGACCTCCGAGAAGGGATCACATCTCACTCCATTCCTGCTTCTACAATAAAGGTTATGACACTGTAATAGCACGACATTTCCAAAATTCTTTGGCCTGAACTTTCTGTTTTGGGGGGTTTTTGAGCAGAATTTGAAGATTTCAAACTTGGCGTGTGACGTGGAGGTAAATGTGTTGGATGTTTCGCTTCCGCATGCTGTGCCTTTTTCTTTTCAGGGCTCCAATTATCATACGTTTAACCGGTTCAAATTAAATGGCATGTCAGGAATTCATGTCATTAAACAACAAAGTGACATTCAGGTGTTCATCTGTCTGCCTCTGCTACTGATTTAACTCTGAAATGAACACCGGAACCTCACAAAAACCTGCCTCTAATGGCTGTGTGTTGCTTATGGGTGTATAAAGAAGTGAAGCTTAAGTCACACAGTTTAATCTTTAGACTGAGCACCAGTCTGAACAGAAAAGCACACGAAGGGACAGAAGCCGTTTTAAGACAGGCGTGGTCAAAATCCACACCGACTTCAAAAGCTTGACTTTAAAAAAAAAGAAAGAGGGAAAGCGGACAGACACTTGCTTCCCTACAGAACGGTGAGCGGGACCGCTTTGAACTGCAGGAAGTTCAGGAGACTTGTTGGCATTTCCAGCTGGTCGATGCAGTGGATCTTGTCGATCTTTTTGAGGTATCTTCGCACAGCTAGTCGGCACTGTGAGGTCAAGGCTTTGGGGGTTCCTGGAGAGGAGAAGAAAGGAAATAAAACAGATTTTCAAAGAGTGGAGAAAAAAAAAAGAATTTAAACAAGTCCCAATGAGACAGTTTTAACTGTTAAAATATGTCGGCATATTGGTCGACTTTTCTAACCGGTTTCCTAACTACAACTTTGTACTGTGCAAAAATCTTGAGTTACCCCTCTTTTTTTTGGATGAAAGCAACCAGACATTCTGCAAATTCTTTAAATTGGTCTCTCAAGGTTTTCTTTTATACATCTTTCCAGGTCACTTCTTGAAACTGTTTTTTTTTTGCCCTTCACTTTTGAACCACTTAGCACAAAAACCAGGATTCCTTTAAGTGCAGAACTTAACAGCTTTGGCGAAGTACCTGTTTAAAAGAGTGTTTTTTTGGAACTGGTGCTATGTCACAAATGTGATTGCCTTTCTTTAGCTGCATCCAGACTGTTGGAGCAGTGAGGATTCCTTCTGACAGATAATGGAAGTAAAAGCAGCCAGAATCCAGAGGGGAGAGGGTTCTGGCCCATTTCCTGTTTTTTTTTTTTTTTTTTTGGCCATGAATAAAACCAAATGAAGGGTGGCTTTGGCTTTTGTACAGGGGGCTTGGCTCCACACCTATCCAGTGGGTTATTTACAGGCCTGTGTAACACTTGGGGGAAAAGCTATTTGTGAAGAACAATCTCATTTGGACTGGGATGTGTTCAGAGGGTAAACACAGGTGCTCGGGTCACATGGGACACACCAGTTTCTGGGGAAGGTTACCGTTAGTGTGACAGCCAGAGAGAGCAGTTTTTCGGTACCTCTTTCCCGCAGAAGCAGCTCCACGGCCTCGTTCTGCTTGGTGGACTTCTCGATGATCAGCGTGGGGAGGTACACGTTAGCCCCGAAGTCGATGAGCAGCTGGACGTACTCCACGCCGCAGCCGTGCCTGAGGCACATCTCCAGCACCGTCTTGGGCTGCTTCACAGAGTTCAGCAGCGCGGCGTCCGTGCAGTTGTAGTCCGGGTCGGCGCCGTACAGCAGCAGCAGCTTGAAGCACTCCATGTGTCCGTAAACGGCGGCCAGGTACAGCGGCCCGCTGGACACGCGGGCGCTGGACGTCCAGAGCAGGACCTTGGAGCGGGAGTTGACCTCGGCGCCGTGGATGAGCAGCTGGCGCAGGATCTCGGCGTCGCCCTCCCGCGCCGCCGTCAGCACCGGGGAGCCGTTGTTGGAGGAGTTCCCGTTGGGGTTGGCGCCGGCCCGGAGGAGAGTCAAGACGCAGTCCAGGTATTTCCCGCGCACGGCGGCGAACAGAGGCGTCTGGGCCTTCACGTCCACGCAGTCCACCAGCGCGCCGTGCGCTAGCAGGACCTGCAGGCAGCCCAGGTGGCCCTTGGACACGGCGGCGTGGAGGGGCGTGCCGGCGATGCCCCAGCCGCCCCGGCAGTTGATGACTTTCTTGTAGATCTCCTGACAGAGCATCTCGTCCAGACGCCTGTCATCGTTTTGCAACACCGCCCGTCTGAGCTGGCAAATTTCTAAACTGCTCTCTTCTTCCTCAGAGGTCCTTAACTGGAGCATAGAACCTGCTGGAGAACGTGAGGGGAAGCAGAGAAGCAGTGTCAGGATTTCCAACCACCCTAGAATCACTTAAAATTGCTAAATCTTTATACTGAAATTCAATTTCCCTTTTTAAATGACTAATAAAGTATACTTCCATTCAGCTAGTACGGGGTTAAAAAAACACATTCCGAACTTCAATTAAAAAACGTATCATATTACTTTTGACAGCAATAAAAATCACAATATAGTACATTATACACAAACTAAATTTTCTAAGAAATGAGTGAAGTCAGCAGAAAAATTCGGCATACAAGTGATCAATAAACTGCCATAAATTTGAATAAAATATCCTTTTTTTAAGTGTTCTGTTCTGGAATGGGTCGCTGGACAGGAATAGCAGCATGCAAAAAAGGGTCAGCTTTTACTGGATTTAAGTGTGCTGTACTCATGCCGAAATAGAGTTCCTTATTTCACAGTAGTTACCCATCACGTCCCCACACAGCAGTCCGGTCCTGCACTGCAGAACGTCAGCTCCAGCTGCTGGGACGCGGATCATAACAACAACAATGTCGCTCCCGTTTAGCAAAAACACGCGTCGACCCGAACTGTTGCGTGTAAAATCGAACGGATTCACACAGAATCGCAGTAATTGTTGTGCTTTTAATATATCTGTCTTTACAAAAAAAAGGGATTATTCCGTTAGGCTTTTTTCGATTAACATTACCTTTGATGTGTCACCATCGGCTACCTTCTTCTTCTCTGGATT